AGAGCAATGCGAGTACCAAATGTGGTAAATATCAGAGCAACTTTGTCCATATTAAGGCCATGCAAACATAAGAGGGGGCTACGGGGCCAAAACACACATGAACCCGATCATATATTCTTGCAATGGCCACAGGTTTTGATGCGTGGGCCAAGTTTCATGCACCAAAAATGCAACGGAAGGCTAATCGTAATTGGGGGGGCGGTATAGAGTCAACGTACCACGACTAAGCTCATCAAATCAAATATACACCAGTTTGACTATGGGTAATAAGTGTCATGAGTTTTTGAGCATCGATCACAAATGGCTGACTTTTTGTTTGGCAAACTCTTTAAATACTGAAATCTGTTCAGAGTTATAACTTTATATTAAATTTCATGAACATCAACCCACTTTTAACTCAACCCTGTTTTTAGAATGCATAACAAGTTCTTGAAGTGGATTATTCTTTCACCGATATGTTTAATTGATGATTAATTATATAAAATGTCTTATCACATTCTTTAGCGACACAAGTGTCATATTAGGTTGTAAGGTTGCAGGTAATATAATATAGCTGCATTTGGAGGCAAAGTTTTGTTTAACATTTTGGAGCTTTCATTTAAGTCAAATAATTGCTTATTCAGTTTCTGTAATCATCAACTTTGATCTCACTCCTACTGGGAAAAGACCAGTACCATTGAGAGGAATGTGAAAACACAAAGCTGGCCGTCTGCAAAAAGTAGAGCTCACCACCGTGTGGCGGTACAAAGAAACAGCCAGCGGATGCTGATGGGATCAAGTCTGGTGAAGGAAGTCAGGGACACATTGAAACTAATATCCTTTACTCCTGGTTTTGTTAAGGATTCAAAAACATCCAAGAAGCATGTTTCATATGATGATGGCATACAAATGAGTTGCTTTTACCAGGAAGTGATGCGTCGATAACGATGATGGCATGATTAATAAGAGCTCAATCACCCTGTTTTCTTCTGTGTTACAGATTGTGGATCTTTTTCATCTTTACTTGAAGTACTTTTCTTTTGCTCATATCAACATAAGAACCTGAGGTATTTTTTCACAAACAATGACAATTGAATCAGCCGAGTGAAGACTTTATATAAATGATACAATAATTTAGTTTTTCTCCCAACTCCTCTCACAGTTGTTGTCCAGCTTTGTTTCTTCTAGTAACCGATTGTTAGTCTACAGACACTAAAGTTGTGAGATTTTTTTCAACAAATCCTTCAAATAAAATCAAAAACAAGTCTGTTAAATTGTTGGTGCATGATCTGTAGAATGTAGTTTTATGATGTTTTATGAACACCCTGGTTACGGTTTGGTTAGATTTAGGGAAAAGACTGGTTTGGGTTTGTAGGTCAGGGAACCTTCGCCCACATGGTTACAATAATAATCATCAAGGTTAAGGTTTGGGAAACATCATCGTCACACAAAACAGCTGCTTCAGCTGTGTAAGAGTCCAATGTTTTGTGGACCGATCCACCTCCTCCCTACATGGACATTGTCTAAATCAACGTCACCTCACCTGGTTCCCGTCATAATTTCTACAACTGCTGGAGGGTTTCGTCACTTCAATGTAAACAAAACTGTCACGGCCGGAGGATTCTGGCTACAAAGTGAGGACGACCCAAACGCATGCAGACAGAGTTCAGGGATTTATAGAAAAAGTGTAGGAGACATAAGCTTACTGGCATGAGTATGAAGTCCAAACGAAAGCGGTGTGGAGAGCTAGGTACAGGTTCCAGGTTCCAGGATAGCGGGATCAGAGGATCAAAGCAAAGAAACTAAAAGACAAAGCAGCTATGTGGAAAAGGGCCAATTAAATATCTGCAGGGCTGATTAGGAAAGTGGATTCAGGTGAGCTTGGGGGCGGGGAAGTTCAGGTGACTGGGACTGGAGGGAAAGGTGGTTACTGCAGGAGGGAGTGGCTGGATGTGAGAGGAGGTGACAGGAGAGGAGAGGGAGGAGGAGCTAATGTCCAACATGCTCTCACATGCTGATGTTGAGCAGGTATTTGGTCATAAACCAAAATATTGAACAACTTGAAACTCAAACTACAGATGGAAAAACTGTACAAATATATTTTTGTCATATTTGCTCAAACTGTCAGAATATCCTGATTGTAGATGAGACAGGTAATCTGTGAAGTAATCAGTTCCCTCTGCTACATTTAGTGCTCCTCGGGGCATTTGTAAGATTCCAAAGCTTCTGAAGACGAACAACCAAAATCACCAACATTTCCTGCAAACATGGCTAAAACAAAATTGCATCAACTGTAATTCAATGTGGTGAAACATTGAAACATGTAAACCTGAGTGATGAGTGTGCACGTGTTTTTGTCTCCTCTTGTTATTTCATCCACTGCAATAACGCCAGAGTGCCCTTTCTGATGATGTGTTCATGACATAGAGGATATTAAGCTGGAGAGGATGGACGTGATTGGTTTAAAGTCTGAGTGACAGATGAGCTGTGAGGTGAAAGTAGACTGAAACAGCACAAGATGGACAGATCTGTTTGTCTGAGGAGAGTGAGATAATGTTACAGTGTAAAAGATATGCCATCAGCGAGGTCAGTGAGTCTGTGACTAAGACTGTCGACAAAGTGAAGGATTGAACTGGAGGCAGAAACATGTAATCTCCTTCAATCGATTGTCCTGATTGGATGAAGTGAGATTACATCTTTCTCTGTTCGTAGTGCACACAAGATTTCGAGAATCGCATCACCGGACACAGCTGCAACCTTCATTCATACAATTATATCAACCTTTTTAAATGCTGATTTTAAACCTACAGTGGAAGTGTCTTGAATAATTTAAAAACACATGAAGGTTATTGTTATTTATTTTAGCCATCAAAAAGATTCCAATATGTTTAAAGCGGTCATTGTTTTTCTTTTCCTCTTTTTTCAAAATTCAAACATTTTTAGTTGTTCATAGTTTCTCAGAGTGTGAACGTGGATTATTCACTACACATTTTATACGTTCATATTCAAGGGCAATGCACTAAACTGGCCTCTGCAGTTACGTTTTCTTCATCAATGGTATAAATGTCGGCACCACACGTCTACAGGATGAAGTAGTAAAAACACTTTCAACTCAAGAAAAGTTATCTCATTTAAACTACACTAAATAGATTCACAACGAGATACTGTAAATACAGAACTTGGCACAACTTCTAGATTCTACAGTGAATTTTTTACATCACATGTTAACATAAAGGTGTGATACAAAAAACTAAATATTCCAAGGTATTATTTTACGTTTCTAAGTGTTCCATGCGGTGAAGATGAGGGACAGAAAGAGTGACACGGTGGTGACGTAGAAAATGAAGAAAGCTCTGTTGATTCTTGCGGCCCAGTGGCCGGACTTCCCTCCTTCCTGTCTGCAGCCGAGGAGCAGATTCAAAGTATTCTGCAGCTCCTTCAGCTCCTCCAGGATCAGCAGTAATGCATTAGATTCTAGTGACTGAATGCTGTTGTTAACCTGCACACACCAAGAGTCACAGAGTCATGTTAGACTGGGATTATTCATGCATTCATGTATTACAAGCCAGGTGGACCAAATCACCTTGTGTATGTTATCTTTACAGGCCAAGTCATTAATACTTTAATGTGTTGAATCAGGCCTCTTAGGTTGTTAAGAGGATGTAAATATATTGATATTTGCCATGTTATCACAACAATGTTGACTGAAGTGTAATATTTTTCCCTTAAGTGATGAAGATAAAGTGTAATTTCCTACTGATCGACAAACCCTATATATATATACAGTATATATATATATATATACAGTATATATATATATACCCCAGTAGCTCAATTCTTTTTACAGGATTTCCAGAAAATGGGAATGAATGCACTTCTCGATCAACTACTGTTATGCAAACATAAGGAATATTAGGAGTTGTTTCATTGAGTTAAGCAGTTGATGGAGCAGTTGGGTGCCATTAAACCATTGCATAAGAGGAGGACACAACAAGATTACATAATTAACAGGGCGCCAGTCAAGCCGCCAACGAGGGAAAACCATTATGTAAAACATTTATGTTTGTTTTATGAAGCCATTTGAAGAATATTACAGTCTCCTCATCACGCCACAGTCTGGGTTTCGTCTCTTCAGTGGACTTAAGTCACATTCTTCATGTACATCGGGATCTATTCAGTCTTTTTCCATTGCAACACAAGTGCATTTTCTTTTTTCCAACTCAGCCAAGGGTAAAAAAAGTTTTGTAAATTGAAAATGCGCATGAAAGCAGGTGTGTGATCATAGTTTAATTATATATATATATATAAGCAATAGAAATCGTGGGAAAAGTGGTTGCTCTTAGCTTTGAACACATTAGGAAGTTTAAAATAAAATTGAAACGCACCCGATAAAACAACATTTGTTATGTGTAACGACATAAATGTCCAGCACGATTACATGAATGACAAACTACACAGTTTCGTCCACCTGTCTTGTAATAATGATGTCTTATTTGAACCTATAATGTCTGTACCTCTTGAGCCACCGGCAGCAATTCATCCTGTTTCTCATCATCCGACGCTTTGCAGATGCACGAACAGCAGGTTTGTCTTTTCTCCTCTGAAAACACACAGCAGGTTTGTCAAGAGAATGGCTGCACAGGAAATATGATTCACAATTATGCTGCATATAAAAAGCACTGGAAAACATAGTTCGTGTTTTTCTATTTTATTACATTCCTGTGACCAAATATAAAAGAGAAAACATCCCCAGTTATAAGTTAATGAGAGTAGCAAACAAACCAACAAATGTCATCAGATTTGGATTGATACACAGGAAATAGCTGAATGACAAAGTTAGTTTTCAAGGTCTAGATTACCTCAAGATTATAAATTTAGACTAGAAACCAGTAGCCAGAAAATTCCTCCAGACATTTCCATTCAAGGAGCTTCCCATAAGATCTGTGTCTCACCTGTGTTCTCGATTTTGACTGTCTCCTGTTTGTCGTCCCTGTCGTCCCTCAGTCTGAGCTTCTCCTGGGATGCGGAGTCTTTCTCCATAAGATATGTCACCAAGATGGTCTCCAGCAGGCTGAGCAGCATCAGAGCAAAGATCACGATGCAGTAGGTCGCTGAGAGGAGGAAACAGACAATGACTATTTTTTGTTTTGGTGAGCTCTTGACTGTATGAATCATAATTTAGTGAGCAGTATGCCCTTAAAGCGTGAGTCAGTACCTATGAGGGGAGTCTTGTTGGACATGGAGGGCAGGATGTCATTCAAGATGAGCAGCAGGACGGAGATGGCCAGCAGAACGGTGACTTTGAAGCCCAGCTTCTCTCCTCGATGGTCAGCGATGAAGAAGGAGGCGAGGTCCAGAATCAGGAAGAACAGGATGGGCAGCATGAAGTTGATGACATGGAGGAGGGGCCTCCTCTTCATGGTGAACTAAGGAAAATAGGTTCAAAGGTCAGACAAGATCGACCAAATGACGACAGCAATTATGACATTCTGGGGTTCGAGGCGTCAGGAGTACATTTACAAAAAATGATTCTTTACTTGTGTGTACGAATAATTAATTCTCTCTTGAATTACTTAATATGTATGCACAAATTAGTAATTCATAAAACGCTTTGTGGAGCTCCCCAAGGCACTGATCCTCCTGCAGCAGTGGGCAGGTTTAACCTCCTTGTCTTATCATTGAGTTCACCTGTTTCCTTATACATACATGTATATACAGTATATATATTAGTGCTGGGCAACGATTACAATTGTTAATCGCGATTAATCGCATGATTTTCTGCGATTAATCTCATTGTTATGCGCAAAATTCAATAATGAATTCAAAAGTAATGTATTGTGCACTTATTTTAAAAGTACTGCTATATGAACAAAAGTGCAATAACATTTGGTTTGCAAACACTTTAAACAAATAAGGTGCTTTTTAACAGCAGTATTTCCTTTACACAGTAGCAGTTATATTTCTTGCACTGTATGTATGGAAATATATGTATATATATATATATATATATATATATACATATACGTACATTGTATGCAAGAGTTTCCCACACTCTATCGTCTAAGGTGAAATTGTAACGGGTAACGGTCAGATGGAGGAACTCCCACTCTCCCTGAGTCTTCATCACGTCTCGCGAAAACTTGGTGGCCCGAGACGAGTTGGAGGAAGGAAGGAGACGAATCTCTTCAACTGAGGAGAGAGGGAGAAAGTTTGCGTGAAAGGAGGTGGTGGTAACAACAATGATTCAGCCCAGATGTACCACACAGTCGTACACTCACTACAGTGTATTGCAGATCCAACGGAGATGCTGCATCTCTGTGTGTCGAAGGGGAACTTGTGGACGTCCATTTTACAAGTGCTGACCACCTTCATATCCTCTTCAGAAGTGACCGTCCCGTCATAGGACACGTACATGTACGGATTCTGAGGGGATTCATCCTTCTGTATCCTGAGACACAAACACACACACATTTTGTCATGCTATGTTTGTAAAAAATTCAAACCACAAGGTATTTCACGTTAATGATTAACTGAATGAATAGAAGAGGGAGCTCCTCCTGTCACCACCTGATGATAATGTGTTTACTAACTGTTGCTCTTCACAACAGTATAAAAGCTGCTGTGTGTTCATTAGATTCAACTAAATACCTCCCATTCTCCACCAAACCTTTGCTTTCCTTTTGTCCTCTGTGCTCCCATTACCTGTTACACATCTGTTTAGCTGTCCATCAAATCCAATTCCCTTTAAGTTCTCTTTCATTTCTTTTATTTTTGATGACCCTTGGCAGTTTCTATCTCACCTTTAAAGGATTACTTTGACAAACATTCTGAGAAATGTGCTAATTTGATTTCTTGCCGAGAGTTAGATGAGAAGATTGATTCCATGTTCTGTATGATGAAGCTAGCCAGCAGCGTTTGAGCTTAGCTTAGCATAAAGACCACAGTGGGGGTAACAGTTTTAATTTGAATTACACAATATATAAAATGTTAATTAGTGAGCTTCAGAGGAGCTGGTTGGTGGATTTGTTTGCTGTTTCCCTCTGTTTCTTGTCTTTGTGCTAGGCTAAGCTAAGCTAAGCTAACCAGCTCTCAAATACAGTATGAGAGTGGTATCTTCTCATCTAAAATAAGTTTTTGTGGGCTTTCTTTTGCACGTATCTTTGAATAAACTACTTTGTATCTGTGTATGTGCTGCAGGCTCACATCTCATAGATAAAGAGGTCTGGTTTCCAGAGCATTTCCTTAGGAACTGAAACCTGAGTGATTCCGCAAAACTGATCAGGGTCCCATGAGATGCGTTCATTGCTCCACTCCTGCAGTAAATGAAAGGTAAATTACCAGAAAAATAAGAGACAGTGAGTTGCAAACAAATTAGAAATAAAATACAGAACAACAGGTGACCAAAGAGAGTGTTAGCTGAGAGTCACGGGTAAAAAAGAAGAGTCATTTTGCAAAACTCACCATTATTACCCAGACAAAAGGAATAAAAGTTTGGGTTTTCTCAATCTGGGAATAAGCACACATACACACGTCAGAACAGATCAACTGTATGGCAACATTTAGCAGGTGAATGATACATCAACACAGTAATGCAGCACCTACCACAGCCAGGATGGCATAGAGGAGGATGTCCAGCTGCACCACGGTGGGGTGTTTGTAGTCCAGAACGGGTCGGGTCATTTTAAACACACTGTTGTCTGCGGTCAGGTTCAGGTAGTCCACTACATCCTGGTAACTGCACACTTTGTCAGAGGACGATCCATCTACATTTAAACAGTTATTAGAAATAAGTTTTATCTTAAAACGTCAATAGAAAAATATGTTTCTTCCTTTGATTCAGTTTAGTTTTGCTTATTTTTTAAGTATATATTTCATTTAATTTCATTACTACTATTGGATTTGTATTATTTAATGTTTGCAATGACTGTATGCTCATCTTTTGATTATATAACACATGCTACATAACTGTAGCTGATATGGTCTTTTGTGTATGCGACTGGAGGTGTTATGTAGTTTGTGTTGTTGATTTAACTTGTTGATTTATTTTTTACTCAAATGTTGAGCGTATGAGAAAAACCCATTCGATTCTAAAGCCCTGACATTCATTTGCTTGATTTCTTTCTTTTGCATAATAAAAAACATCATTTCTGTTTATTCTAAGCTCGTTAACACAGAGCATTAGACTAATCTTCTCTGTACATTGTTCAGATTGTAGATGCTTTGATAAGGCTTCTGGATTTCATTTTTTTTTCCTCCTGTCAATGAAGTCGTGGCTTTGACTGTGATGAACTATTTTTGGTTCAAATAATGTGCAACAACATGCACACGCTCCACATTCTCTAACCGTTTATGAAACAGATACAAACAGTGCTGGAATGATGGAAAATACTATTACACCTAAAGTAAACTACACCAAAAATGATTTCCAAGGTTCAAACACACCTCAAACATGCTCATACAGCACAAAGTCTTACCTGTGAAGATGATCAGGAGGAGAAAAGCCAGGTGCATCATATCTGCAGCCGTGTGTGTGTTTAGGTGTGTGTGTATGTGTGTGTTAGAGCAGCTTTGTGTCGTGTGTGTGTCGCTGCTGTAAGACCAGACCGAATCTGTGAAGCTTTGATTTGAGCTGACGAGGGCTCGGCTGAATGAATGACCTCTGCCTGAAATGAGAAACCCCTCCTACAGTGGACAGCAGGAACTGACATTGTAATTGGTTAACAGGCCTTGGTTTCTCTCTCTCTCTCTCTAGGCAGGCGAGATTGAAGGTAACAAAAGAAAAAAACTAAGGGAAAAGGCAGGTGGAGAGGATTCATCCATCTGAAAGGAGACATAATGTGAATTTACAGTTTGCTCACAGCTTATTTGACACTGGGCACTGAAGGAGAGTGGGTGTAAATCTGCACAGTCACAAAACAGACGTTTACACAGCCCATCGTATGAGAAAGTAGAATTCAATTAAAGTGGAACTTGATCACCAAAACAACGTGGTAATGACATTATGAATAGGGCAGCAGAGCATGCAATCAGATGAATCATTTATGCATAAAGTCTCTCTTTGGACGGTAAGTGACTTTGCTGGTGCAGTTTTAATTCTGAGAAAATTATTTTTATAATGGTTTTGTATTTTAATGGCCTTCTGTTGTCACACCGGAGTTTATGAACAACTAATGATTATTTTCATTCTCTTATAAACGCCGTGGTAAAAACTAAGTGGTAACCTGGGTGTCTGTGAAGAAATATGGAGAAAAAAAAAAAGTTTCTAAGATATTGTTTGATGGGAATTTTGAAGTTCAAAGCTGTACTAATGGATTGTTGGCTACTTGGGGGCAGCGGTACACAATGTAAACACAACACTGATATATTATCACCTTCTAAAGTTATGTTTAAGCAAATAATTGTGTATGTACATATCGGGCAGACACAAAGCAACATTAGCATTCATTTGAAGTTGTTTCTCTGCCCACCTGATGAACTTAAGTCCAATATTCACTCTCTTTGAGCTCTGGTTTTGGTCTGCACCAACTTCTGAGGGAAATATCTCTTTAGGGTTGCTAAGTGCTCCACTATGTTCACCGGCTGCTAGTTGCTAAACTTGTTTGTCTGCCAGTTGGTGCTGTGCAGGTACACAGTTGTTTCGGGAGCTTATTTTAGCTGAAAACCTGCTGCAGCCCACAACCATGCTGATAAGAGCGCTGTAAACAAAAACAATGACCTAAAAGATGTTAAAACACTTCATAAAGCTGAAGGGCAATACATAGTCAGTGCTAATTCTCTGCGGGTTGACTTTTAAAACACAGTAAATTGATCTTTTGTTAACATAAACATATTTATTTGTGCACCTTTAAATTAAAACGAAACATTCTTGTTTTGTTTTATTTCTTGGTTTTGTTTCTTTATTGTAAATTGTTGATTTATTAAATAATCCGTAAGGAGACGGGGCTGGCCACATTTTAATGCTTGCAAAAAAGATACCTTTGTGCTGGAAAACAGTGACTATAATGTTTATAAAGGAAAAAATAATTACCAAAAAAATTCTGCCAAATGCAAATAATGCAAAGCAGACAAATATTTGAATTTATTCTGTGGGAAAGATGGTTATTTCCAGTCCTTAGAGGTTATTTATACTGGTGGCAGAAATACAAATTAAGCTCTGTGGTGGGAAAAAGCTGCAGAGCAGAGTTTTAAAAATGATTGTATGAAGCAGCGAGGAGAATTTCAGTGAAGGTGACCATGTTAGGAAACATCTCAGAGCTGCGTTTCATCTTCAGCCACATGAACCAAACATAACCCTGCGCTGATTAATGAGTCTTTCACATTTTAAATAAACATCACATCGCTCTGTCGATTTAGTTGCAAAAACTTTATTGTCCATCTGATGTTATCTTTGTCACTTTTTCACCCATAGTTCTAGAAAAGTGGGGGTCTTGCAGATTCAGGACCCATTCCTTTGATATCATACTGCGACTGGTGCCAGAGAACGGCTTCATCTACACATTCGGACTGTGGTCACATGACTGTTTGCAGCTTGGATATAGATGTGCAGTCCTCTTGACCGTAACAGTTCGGGTCAAGGGAATAGGGAGCCAGCAACCGATATATAACACTACAGATGGATATGATCCGGCTTTGTGTGTATGCAATGATCCATCATCAAGTATTCTACAGAAGGGTGCAGGCTGACCTAGACTAACATGCTTACTCTACAACCGCCTCATGCACCGCAAAGTGTGTTGTCTAGGAAACAGAGAATAGTGCATTAAATGTCGATATCGTCCCTTTCAGTTTTCGTTATGTGTGCTCACGTGTGTAAACCTTTTCATCCTTTTCATTCACATCCTAGTAAACAACACAGTGTTTTGCAACAACTTAAAACACAGTAACAGAGAACATCAACAACTGGTGAGATACACATTAAAGTTATACAAAACCAAAACAACTAAAAGCTTCACAAACGAGGAGAAAAGGGCTCGTCGAGGTGATATTAATAAGAGGATGAACAAGCTAACCACAGTGTGGCCTAAATCTCACGTTTAGGTTTTCAAATTATACGTAGGATGTTTTTCTCACAAAGGAAATGGCAAAATTTAAATTAAGAAAAATAACATTTAAACATTGAAATGATTTGAATGCAACAGGCCAGTGCAAACAGTTTTTGTTTGAACTGCATGTGAGCCTCGTCCTGCAGGAGACCCTGCTTCGGCAACTTTATTGCTTGGTTGTACTTGTTGGTTTCCAGTTGCAATACGCTAATACTGACATGCTAAGATGGAGCTGCAGAAGGAGAGGATGGCGTGGTGTGTGTGTGTTTGGAGAACCAGTTTAGGGTTCAAAGTTCATGTTTCATTCCAGTTCAGATAATTTAATTGTCTCGTACGTTCCCCTTCTGAGAGATATACGTTCATCGTCCTACATTCTGTGTGAAGAAGTCTTTTTATGTTGTCGTCAGTCCATTTCTGTTCATTTTGGCCAGTATTTCTTGCCTCGTCCGCCGCCTTACAAGTCTGACCGCTTCTGTGTTCACATTCGGCAGAGGTTGTTTGAAAATCATGGCGGGAATGAGAGGAAAACATCAGCAGAGGTCAAAAGCTGCATGCGAAGTTGAGGAGGGAGCTCCCTGATCCGAAGAGAGAAGTCAGCAGGTTTTAGTTCGCTATGGTAAGGTAGTCCGGTGTGAGCTGACTTTTAAATAGTGTACGAACACTTGTTCAACATACAGTTTATAAGAGAGAAGAAGAAGTACATTAGTAATACATCAGATTGCCCATCACAGTAGCCCCTGACTGTTTGGCTGGTAATAGAGGAGAGGAGAGGAAAGGAGCAGCAGGTATTTTTCTGGAGATAGTGTCACGATACACAGCTCTCATTAGTTAGGAGTACATGTAATAAATAATAACATAGCAGTAGGCTAATAAATTCCACAAGTAAGCTCACAGACAAAAAAAACAAACAAAGAAACTCCTGTGAGATAAAAGTGCACAGACGACAGACATGTTCTGTTCCTCTTCCCTCCTCTTTCTATGAGTTTCAGCGACGGCATCGGCGACAGATGGAGTGTGTGTGAGGGGGGGGGGGCTTCCCTGCTCAGTGAGGATAGTATCCAGCGATGCAGCACTATGGCAGGGTAAGAAGAAGAAGAAGAAGAAGAAGAAGAGGAGCTGACTCTGGACGGAGAAGTCTGTGTGTTTCAGGTGCGTTACACAATGAGTGGTCCGCGGCGGGGATGTTTAGGACCCTGGCCGTCCCTGTTCTCAGGCCCCTGCTCCTCCAGGTTGATGTTGCTGGTGGAGGTGTGGTGGGAGAGGGGCTCCAGAACAGGCCTGTAGCCCCCAAGGTACATCAGACCTGAAGAAGAGAAGACGGAGAGAGAAAGAGAAGAGGGTTATGTTGCAAAACCTCAAACCTCTTGAGGACACAGTTGTATTTCTCTGGTGTAAATTAATGTCCCAACAGCAAGACACAGCTTAAAGACAGCAGAGTACTGTCTTACTCATTTTCTACTTATTTCTCTACTCATAGGGCAACTTCTATCTTCTCGCACCTGGTTTTGAAAAGTGTGTTTCCATCCGCCTGTTTTCATGCGCATTTTCAATTTGTGCATTAAAAAACCTGAGTGGAAATGCGGGAAATTTGAAGGGAAAGAAAGGTAAAAACAAGTTTGCAGCTGGGACATTCTTGACTTCTTCCTTTGCAAAGGACATGATACTTTTCCTTAAACTGCACAATACTTGGCTGACGTAATATTTTATATCATTGTAATTTTGACCCAAGTTAATAAGACCTTGCACATGCTCACACCAAGCATTACACTGCAGTCCTCGTGGCCTGTAATACAGTTCACTTCGGTTAGAATTAACTCAAAGCCTCGCCAACCAACAACATGGTCCTAACTCACAGTGAACAACACTCAATATCTGCCGAGGACTGAAATTATTATTGATAGTTTTAGGTCTCGACCACGGAGAATTTAAATACTAAGTGATATCAGCTGTTAATCAGCAAGTTATATTCTGAGCTGTGATTGAGAAAAGATAAATGCTGTACATAAAGAGCAAGACTCCCCATCACATTTTTAAAGATATTTGATGACTGTACTTACTGTATTTGTCTGGGAATACAATCTTAAATAAAACTGAATCATGACAAACAAGTAAACAACAAAAGAGGGTGATTGTTATGGTTCATGCAAACTACAATATACGGCCCTGATGTCTGATCTACCATCTAACCATAACTCCATACCTAGTCCTCAATGTGCACTGGGCACGACTCCTCATCTGTCCATCCGAAAGAAGGCGAAAGAAGGAAGAGAGGAGAAAGAAAGAGGAGAGAGGTCGGGAGGAAAATGTCCAGGAAAAGACAGTAGAAGATGTGAAGAATGACGAGGGGAAAAGGAGAGAAACAGAGAGATAACAGAAGACTTTTACGACACAGAAAGAGAAAACATGTCGCACCATCCACCATAAAAGACCAAAGAGGTGATGTTAGGTTCAAGGTGATGATGATAAATCAGGGTTTTAGTGGCTGAGAGCTACAAGAAGGATGCAGAGCAAAGCAGGCTAGTTTGAACCCAAAATCACTCAATTGTTAATTAAACAACCAACACTTCAAGAACAAAATTGATACCTTTAGCTCTCATCACAGTAACCAGCTGAGTGTTTCAAAGCAGGGAGGATGATTAGGAGAGGACGGGAGGGAAGATGGAGGGGTGTGAGAATGAGTTGCAGATGTTTGGCAAAGCGGCTCGGAGCTGGCAGACACTGAACATGAATTCTGGGATGGACCAGACTCTCTCTCTCTCTCTCTCTCTCTCTCACACAAACAAAAAAGACAGCATGCAGAAAGCGCTCGTCAGACACACGGTAAGATGCACTCATCACTCATCACTCACACACACACACACACACACACACACACACACACACACACACAAACACACACACACACACACACCAGGGCTTCAGCTAAAGGAGGGAGAGGAGGGAGAGAGTGCACAGCTAACCAGTACTGAAAAAAGCAATGAAGCACCAGAACAACACCAAAGTGTAGGGATGAAGAGAAGAAGGAGGGCTCCAGATCTTCATGCTGGGCAAAGATGCTACAAAACCTCCTCCGTGGTCACTAACTGCGACTAAATGATACATCTAATTTGTTTTTTCTTTGTTTCTTTCTAGCTTTAATGTGCATTAGCATGTTAGCATAGCAAGCTGATGTGTCAGAAATTCTTAAGTCTTCTGACTCACGCACCCCTTTTTATCATCTTCCTCACATTTCCTCCCCTCCTGCATCTCTCGTCACCCACCCCCCTTTACTCCCCTCACTCTCCTGCCCAGTCCTCAGCTCTCATCAGTCCATGTTCGAGGGGTTGCCACTCACCGGCGATTCGGCCGTCGGGAGCCTGCTCATTATCCAACCCCAAAGAGGGCGTGTCACAGAGGGCGACGCCCTGATTGTTATTGGCCAACTCTGCACACCTGCTCCGCCCACCTGCAAGCGAGGGCAAAAGTCAAACAAGAGCAGCCAGGCACAGCAGGGGGGGGGAGTGGGACAGGCAGGGTGAGGGAGGGAGGGGGGGGGGGGGGCATGGTGTCAGAGGTGGAGGGGTGAGGTAGGCCATGCTGGAACGGCATTAATAAAATAATAAATGATTTTACCACCATGTATCTGACTTAGACGTGAGATTTAAAGGACACCAAAATCAACTGATTCGCTCTGATCCACAGTGTCTTTAGAAGACTTGTGTGATACGTGTGTGTGTGCATCTGTGCGTTTTTCTATCCTGGTGGGGTCCATCACCTGACATATCACTCACGCCATGGGGACCAATTTTCTAGGTGGGGACCGCCCCTGGTCGCCACAGGCACGAGCATTGCAATCAATAGAAAACAGCCTGCTGATATGCCTGGTGCAGTTTTTTTGAAGAACATTTTTTTACTACTTTGTGTGTGACCTAGTGGTCGTAGAGGGTATTGTGGTGTGTGTCGTTGCACTGGTGGGGACCGTTTTCCTGACAAAGTGTGTGTGTGTCCACGGATTCTTAGACACAAAGACTGCTGATGTTTTCCATTTGTCTGAAGCTTCATGAATTCTAACAAATATATAATATTCCATAATCCAGTTGAGGGGGTGTGCGTGACCACACTGAGCAGAATGTCAAATTGAAAGAATCAGACTCTTAAGAAGCAATCAACAATAATCCAACAAGTGTGATCTAATTCTTGCAAGGCTCATTTTGCGCAATTGAATTAGAAAGAATATACAAAATGGTAAGATTGTTTACAGAGAACAAAAACAAACAAAGCTCATCTTGCCCTTTAGTTTACCATCAATATAGTAGGAGATATTTTGGTATTTTCTTACTAAGAACTGGCAGTTCAGGGATTTTTTTCCAGTTGTACATTAATCTATTTCATAATTATTTATTTTGTACAGAAGGTGGCATAGCATAGTGATAACAATTATTTATTATATACTACAAGATAATGTAGTACAATATAATATCATACATCATATGATCTTCTGATCTTCGGTTCTATTTTCTCATTAATAAGGTAAGCCGACACATGAGACAGAAATATTAACATGAACTGTCAACGTTAGCATGTTTCTGCCTTCTCCAGCATGGCCAGATAACAGATACTGACATGTTTGATTATGTGCCTCATGCCTGCAGCAAGCCTATGTGTGTGTGTGTGTGTGTGTGTGTGTGTGTGTGTGTGTGTGCGTGTGCGTGCTAATGAGGAAGAGGATGACTGGATGATTGGCAGCTCAGCACAGAGACACAGACAGGGCACATACAGAAGCTGTCTGTCAGCGCTGGTGCAGATGCAAACATAACATCCTACAGCGCGTGTGCACATTCACAGTCTGTCAGGCAGCACAGGTCCGCTCGTCTCCTAAAGAACTGAAAGGTCATTCGGTAACTCACAGGTACACAGGTAGATCGTTTCAGTCTGGCGCCAGGTGTTACACACGCACACGCACACATACACACAATCCACAGAGAAACTAATTTACATATACAAGTTTCAAACTGTAGTTTAATGAAGGTGACCGTGTTGTTTTTGCTTCAAACCTTTCTGGTCATTGACTCACACTCTCTGTACACCACAACACTTTCACTCCATCACTCTATCACTCTCTTTCTTACACACAGACACACACTTACACACTTACACACACACACAGACACACACTTACACACACACACAGACACACACTTACACACACAGACAGACACACACACACACACACACACACACACACACACACACACACACAGATGGAGCATGAAGAAGCTTTCCCTTCACGATGCAGCAGCAAAAAAAATATAAATAGTGCTGAGCTTTTTAGAACATAAACATCTAAATGATACACCTCATACACTTACATTAAATCTACAAGCACACACACATGTGTACACACAAATATTCATATAGCGGTGCAAATCATGCAAATGCAGCCCGTAGCCTGGTGTGCAGCAGAACCTCATCTAAACAACACAGGATGCCTGTACGTGCTCATTTCCTGTTGTGAATGAAAGGATGCTCCGATCGATTGGAATATGTTGATATTTGTGGCTAATTGCTTGACTACCGGTCATTAAATTCAGCGATAAGGAAACAGTGATTGTAAAACATGGGAAGAATATAAATAAATGTCCTTCAAATATACTTTTCTCTGTCTGATCTGTCAGCTGTGTAACAAGTCAGGGATGGATGCTCTGAAGGATGTAGGGTTGATATCAGTTTGATCTCTTTCACTACATTTGTTTACATTTTGCGCGTTATAAGCTGGCTTGCTAACGTTAGCCTACATTCAGGAATCACCTGGTGGAGCCACAGAGGACAAAATAAACTTGCTTATCTGCCAGATTTGAAGGAACTCTTGAACTGAAACGGGTCTTGTTGTTGTAACATATTCGGTCCAGAAATACAGAGAATCCAGACCCTGAATTGGTACATAAACTGAGACAGTAAATGTTCCCGTTTATCCTTTAACAAAATAAATACAAGGACTGTTTTCTGTAGTGGGACTTGCTCTGGCAGAATCTTTGGGCTGCTGGTGTCTTAAAGGGCAGGTAATAGAGGAAAGTCCTTTTCTCAACTAAAGCAGGATCATTTTTTGATGAAACAGTCATCTTTGATCTTTGATTTGATGGAGGAGCCAGTTCTTGCCTCGTCCAGTCCAGTTCTGTGACCACAGAGGAAGATTAAAGTGGGACAATCAGTGACAACTGGTATTTTAATTAGGTCAGTCTTAGGAGCTCAGCCTTCACTGTGAAGTAGAGTCTTAGGAGCTCAGCCTTCACTGTGAAGTAGACTGAAGTTCTAGTGCACACATACTGTATGAGAAGACATTCACTCCAGTTCAGATTGTGTATGTTGTGGTGGTTTCAGCCAACATCACGTGCATTTTGAAAGGGACTGCCCCATCTAGAGAACAATATCTGCCATAGAATCCCTTTATTTGAAAGGGTTGTCATTACTCAGCCAAGATTTGAAAAAGTTTACGGACAGCAACAATATCGACCACTCGGTCCATAATGTATAATGTTTGTATGAAAAAATGTATTTCTTTTTCACATGTGCTGAGAGCAACAAAATGCAAAGGGAGGTGAGAGATCAGGGGTGAAAGGTGAGGGATGGTCCACATAGTTACCTTTCCCATTAGACGGGGAGGAGCAGTCCTCTTCAGTGACATCGTTTCCCTGGAGAAAACAGGAAAGAAGCTTTTTAAGACTAAATAAAAGTTAGATAAATACATAAAATGAATGCATTACACACCTCTGAGTCCTGCTCCTCTACTGCCACCGAGTAGTTTTGTTCCTTTGGCTCCTGGGAAAACTCCTGAATGAAAGAAACGATACAAGACAGTACAACGTGTTTATAAAACATTTCTGGATCTCACAGCCAATTTTCTCGTCCATCCTCCAGATTCCTCACCCCGTCCTGCTGCGACGGTCCTCGGCTCTCCATGGGGGCGTCCTGGTTCTCCTCGCCCTCAGCATCTCCCCCCTCGTCTCCCCCGGGTTCGCCTTCGGCCCCGGCCAGGTAGGACCCTGACATGGAGGACATGGTGTCAGTGCTGATGTGGGAGTGCTGCGAGTGGGACGAGGCCATGGACATCACTGAGTGGACCAGGCTGCTGTTCACTGGGTCTGACAGACAGACGGAGACACACATCACGGTTGGGCTCCGGGTAAGAGGATTTTTTTATTGTCTGTGTGTCGCGGGTGAGATTTACACCATTTGTAAAATGCAGAACAGTAGATTATTGCCCTTTCTGAATAGTGGGCAAAGAAGAAATGTTTTCTGTTTTTTTTCCATTGTCTCGTCACATTGAAGGAATAGTGCGACATTTCAGGAAATACGCTTATTCACTTCCATTCAGGGAATTAGATGAACAGATCGATAACACTCCCGTGTCTGTGCACATTGCAGTGTGTACGGAGCTAGAGCCTGGAGGTTGATTAGCGTCGCTTAGCATAAAGCTAACCTGACACTGTCTAATGAAAACATATTTTGTCTTTAGGAAACGAAAGGGATTTAAGTTGTTGCGATTTTCACTGCTACTTTGAATTTTTGTGTTTGTCAGTTTAGGTTTGGTTCTGTGTGTGGGGGCTTGCATTGCTGTCTCTGTGAGGACCAATTTCAGTTTCAAAACCATTTTAGTGAGGACATTTTGGCCGGTTCCCACTGCTTCAAAGGGCTGTTTGAAGGTGATGACTTGCTTAGATTTAGTTTTAAGGTAGGTATAGAAAGACAAACGTGTGTGTACCTTCAGGGGAGGTGATGGTGGAGGAGAGAGGGGTTCCCGTGCAGGATGACTGGTCGATTGCTCCAGACGAGGACAGAGTCAGGTTCTCGCTGTCTGGAGTCACTCCACTCTGTGAAACAACACAGAGGTAAGAGAAGAGCTCACAACACCACATGTTACCCCAAACACACTAACAAATGTGTACACTTCCACAGCCTTAGAAGTCACAATAATGTATTTTCTCTTTGTTTAACACACACACACACACACACACACCTCCTGCTGGTCCACGGCGAGTTTGTGACGGCAGGCCTCCGATTCACTGCAAGACTTCTCATCCTCCTCCTCAGGGAGCACAGAGGAATTCTGGGAGAGAGACCTAAGATAAACACAATGGATGAGCTTCAGACAAAAATAACAGTAAGTGGGTTTGATGTATCTTTACTGTGAAAACACAGACAAGAACAATTCAAAAAAAGTCTTTAGCATTTAAATATTCTGGGTATTTTTTGCTGAAAACAAATAAACACAAAAGTAGCGCTAAAGACTTCATGAACACAAGTGACTATATATTCCTAAGATTTCACAATCATGTCCCAAAGACATCTGCTATCCCAAGCAAAAAAAAAAAAACATTAACTGTCACTAACACTCACTTCGAACCGCTCTTCTGGAGTTTGAGTCCCTGACTGGAGTTGGAGTGCTCTAGAGGGGAGAGGGAGCGGGCCGGTGCCGGGTGAGGCTCACTGCTGTACGGGGGCAGCACTCCGGAGACGTGACTGGGACCGGAGTTGAGAGGAGGATCCACCGAGGAGGTGTTGAGGGGGCCGTTCAAGGCCTCCAGGAGAGACACCACCTCGTATCCTGGAGGGATGTGCTCCGACGCCTGCAAACGAGGAGATAAAACACTGGTGAGTTTACTGGGAATGATCATTATGTCATATTTACTCTGTTTTTCTGGGTCAGCTCTGTCTCACCGAGTGCTCCTCCGAGTCAGAGGTCTGGGAAGTGATGACGGGGTTAAAGCTGGTAGGTGACAGAGGACTGAGCTTCTTCCTCATAGCTCGGATCTGCAGCAGAGCTCTGAATGCTTAAAGAAAAAACAAGATGACAACAGAAATATATTTATATAATTTGTATATCTAATAATAATTTCAATGACATTTACACGGATGTATTTTGAGGCCACGATTAATATAAAAAAGGCCAATGAGCCTAAACTGCTGTAAAATAAGATCCAAGCCGCACTGTTTTGAAATAAATGGAGTGCAAAAGAAAGTGTTTCTGCTGAACAATGGCCAAGAGAGGCCACTTTTGGAAGTACAAGCGTGTATTCATCCTGGAAGGCCATATGTGAGAAAATATTTTTGAAAAGCCTGATCTTATCAGCTCAACAAAAATAAAAAAATGTAAAGAGTCATGAACTGGAGCAGCTGCTACGAGCCACAAAAACTCAAGAACAATAATCAGGAGATGACAGCAGGACACAGAAGGGAGGAAATAACAGTGTTTTGCCTGTGTCGTGTTGCTGGACAGAGAGCTCTGCTAAGGTAACCTTTAATTTGCGTAATTCTCCTTTTCTACTCTGTCTCTCTCACTCACTGTTTCTGTCTGCTTTAGTCTCACTCTGTGTGTGTCTGTTAACTTGCTTTTCCCAGATGTTACATTTTAGTTTAGTAGTTTTTCTCTGCTGCAGTGGTCAGTCAGTGGCGATGAATCAGTTGCTATTGTTTAAATTTCCCTTTTTTGTTTTTTTTGCTTCTGTACAGGAACGGCTACAAATAAATATTGCATGAGAACAAACCAAACATCAACAGGCCCCTTAAATAAATGAAACAAAAACAAACGTAATCTTTTGCGTTCAAAAATTGTCCTCTGGGTATAAAACACATCTTTCTTGTCCAGGAGTCAAACAAGTTGTAACCATGATTCCTGTGTAGCAACAATCTTAAACATTCTGCAGATTTAAACAATCCTTTTTTAATGATACACACCTGAGTCTCTCATTTGATCCTCTGTACCAATTTTGGCTCCAAATATTTCACTTTTTTATTATAGTAAAATTGAAATTTAAAAGGGAGCATTAACGGTGTTAGAAAACACCTTTCATCCATTTTAACAATCTATTTCCAGCAGTGGAAAAGTGGTTTACAGAACTCTCATTTTGGAAATAATTTCTTCATCGTAGGTGGGAACTTACGCAGTCTGCAGATGGGGCAGCAGTTGGCCTGGTAGCGCAGAGTGTCTGCGCAGGCGTTGCAGAGACACAGGTGTCGGCACGGTAGGATGAGTGTGTCTCGCACATCCGACAAACACACCACACACTCGGCACTGTTGTCACTGATCTCGTCATCTGCAACCTGGAGATGAAAAAACATTTGAATGTTAGGAGGAGAGAGAATTTATAAGCCATCCAGTCAAGCTACAGACAGACAGTTACGCTGATTTATTTTACTACACTGCCGTGACACTTCTGACTCACTCAAAGAGGATCAGACGGAAAAATAAACTCAAGATATTTACCTTTGATTCCTGGCTGTTGTATTTGTTCTCTATCCCGTAGATCTCCTGCAGTAGATAACTCACTCCATCCACCTGGGAAAAGGAAGATAGTAAAGAATGACGGCTGCAGGTCTCGTGGGTTCAGGGGTAATGTTCAAGAGGGAAATAAAACTTTGTGTATCTTTGTCTTTCAAAAACATTTAAAAAATGTTTCACGAAAGGAGGAAGGAAGAGAGAAAAATCAAGTGTATTCACCACTTGTTTCTGCTTCAGAGGCTTCACACAGTAGCTCCCGTCCATGTGCTGCAGAAGAAAGCAACGGTTGTTTATTACCTTGTCTGAATAATTAAAAAATTTGTTCGGAAAGCCCTTCATTTGTTTTTCTTTGGCATTGTTTATATTTGACTGACACTCAACTGAACTGTAATGCTGTGGAGAGGACTTCTCACGTTCTTACGGTTTTGCCGCATTTCTTTGGGCAAGAAAAGTGACTATAAATATGAACCAATTATCAAAATAGCTACTGAAAGATTTCCCGTCGATAAATCGTTTCGGCAATGTCTGTAGAACGACAAATTCCTGCAAACATATTGTGCCTGCCGCAAAGAGAGTCCTTCTTACCTTTTCAAATGTAGCCAGCAGTATGTGAGAGTGGCCCAAATGTTCTGTAAAGATAAAACACAGCGGGCACGTCGTTGCTTAAAATTCAGCGGCTCTACTTTCACATGAGACCATCGGTGTGATAACCAGTAACAGACCATCGGTGTGATAACCAGTAACTCACCATCCCCCTCGTCTACCACAGCCTGCACCACCATGGGGAAAACCTCTTTGTCCACGTCGAACAGCAGCTGAGGAGAGAAAGTAGATTTCTATCTGCTCATGTGTAAAAGAAAATTGGTTTCCCAGCACAGCCGCAGAGTGTTTCAGTGTTCAGCCGACCGGCACAAGCTGCTTACCTCCTCGTCAGCCCATTCGCTGAGGTTTACGGTGTGTGAGGGCAGACAGAACTGCTGGCCCACTCCCCTCTTGAAGTGCACCGTCTCCGACTGCAGAGAGCTGTCCTGGGGCAGGTAACTGCAGGAAACGATACACAGATACAGTCAATCAATGCACAAAATACACCAAATCAGTCAGCTCATCGGTATCAGGAAGTCGCTGCTGCAGATTGACATGTGGATGATCCATTTGTTGGTTACAAACGCAACACATAACAGGCTGTCAAGTGTTGAATGCATTGTCTTTGCGTATTTAAAGATGTTATGTGAAGCGGAGGATAGTCATCGCCTGCTTGCATGTCTGAACAGAAATAGAATCACAGACAGATCATTATGCAACATATGCAAACGCTGATGTATAAGATATGCACGACCATGTTGGCATACCTTATGAGTGTCTGCATGGATATTTATAGCAGTGCTTTTCTCTTCTATACTAGCCTGTATTTCTATTTTTTAAAGGATGACTAAAGGCAGCAGATGTCCCTCTTTTGATGTTTACTAGAGATGCAATGACTCCATACGATACTGATTCTGATTCCTCAACTCATCTGCTGATACCGAGTCGGGCTACAAAGGTCTGGAAAGCTCACTTCTGTCTAACTCCACACCCCCAGATTTATTTATTTTGCTCTCTAACTTGTAGTCTTCAACCCCAATCGACACTGGAATAATTGATCACACTTTCGAGGACACCGTGTGGAAGTTAGTACCTTACAAGGAAGTGCTTAAGGATGCACCTGCTGTCAACAAGTAGTTTGTACAAAAACATTTGAAGAGATTATGGCAAAATAAATGACACATTTTCAACTTTGGAGCGGAAGAAATTTGTGCTTTTCTAGAGTGATTGCAGACAGTTTAGTGTTTCACAATAAAGTGGCAATTTTAAGAAAACTGAGTCAACACAGACAGAAAAACAGGCAAATTCTACTGATTAAAACTCGATACATAGTGATCAGTCAAATGAAAAATATTGACCAAAAAGATTGGTTAATGGATTTTAGCAAATATCTTAAATACATCCAGTGTTATCTGTTCACCATGTTTCCACTTACACTGGCACTCCATTGTGAAACTCCTCTATGGCCTGGTAGTAGATGGTTATGGCCACCTGTGTGTCAGCGTCGAAGGTGAACTCCACATTGTAGCAGGCCCGGTTCTTCCCCTCCGCCTCGTCACCCGGCAGCTTCAGGTCCTCGCTGCACCTACGAGTCGAGAACAGAAATCTGAGCGGCATCAAAAGCTATTTCCTTTTGAGTAAATGAGTGCGAGTCATGGGGAGTGTGCATTTATAAAACAAGCGGGAAATCTAATTATAGAGTGATTTATGCCTCAATAATCGCACAGAAATTATCTGCAACTGGGGGATTTATTTATTGTTTGAAGCCATGTAATGAACATATCAATAATGTTCATTACATGGATGGCTTCATGTTTTTTTGATCACTTGTCATATTTTTTACGTTTGTTAAAGCATATTTTTTGTGTATGTGTGTTTGTGCTGTTTTGATGCATAAGGGACATTTTGTGCTTTTATTTTTGCCTTGGATTTCGTAATTGGATGTTATGTTATGATGCTTAATTGTGTTTCTTTCATGGGTTAAAGAAAGTACTAAAGAAAGTAAAAATATAAATTACAAGCAAACATGAATTATATGACACCATCCCTTAAATTAGCCGTTGTGGTTTGTTGTCTAAAAATAGCTCAGTGCACATAAAGTGCAGCAATGGTGTGATGAGGGGTTAGGTGTATGTTACGGTGGACAGAGGTGCGTACCGTACGAGCCGCAGCGTGTCCTTACGGATGTTTATAAGGCTTCGTAACGTCTTCACTGGTTCCTGAGGTGGAGGGGCTGCGTACGGGAACTGAAAACAAAAAGAAAACAAACTCTAGATGTAAAATACATGTTATGAGACTGAAGAGTAGTAGCGTTTATCTTCCCTTAAAACCGCCCCGACATTCTTCCCTTAACCACAGGGAATTCAGGGTTACACAATGACCACGGCTGCTCCTGGTTTAACCTTAACACAAGTGTTTCGGTTGGTCAGCACCAGTGGGATCCGTGCAGACAAGTGCTGAGCCAGAGCAAAAAAAATCTGCTCAGATTGTGTCTTTCCAGAGACGAGGCTGACACCTCAGAAAGTGTTTAGGCACATTTCTGCACACGCAGGCACCACGGGGGTGTAAAACAGTCCAGGGTCAAGCAGTCTTTATTTCAAAGACCAGATGAAGTGAAGATTACCATCAGGTGACAGGTAAGGAAGTGAAAATACCCTCTTTTCACTATTTTCTCTTGTGACCAACCTAATCTTTAGTGATTAAAAAAAACAATATTAACAACCCTGGCGTTACGTCGCCACATCACCTTCAAATTTGACCCAATATGTGGTTCACTTCTCAGCACAGCGTTTGAAGCCTGAAGTTGCCGACTGAGCGTAAGAGGAGAGCCGAGGTGGTTTGAGGATCACTGGGGGAGAAACATGCAGGATGTGGTCAGATACCTCCACACTACAAGCCCTCATCTGTCCCTTAGTGTGTCCGTGTGTGTGTGTGTGTGCGCTTGTGTGGCTGTGAATGGCACCATATTCAGCGCTGTTACACATCTGGGCTCAGCGGGAGTCACGCCTGTAAACTACACAGACAGACACACACGGAGTAACAGATGCTGAAAAGGACCATTCATTAGGAAAGTCACAGGAAACACTGTGGGTCTCATAACGTATTAAGAATCATGAAACATCAGAGCAATGGTTCTTCACACATGCTCAGGCGAAATTTAAAAAAGCTAACACTGCTCTCCTTTTCAAATACAGGCGAGTAGTTTTCTGAGAAACATACAACATATAGAAATTAAAAAACATATTTTCCAGTTTCTTTAATTTTAAATTATTTTTTTCTGAATTAATTTTGATTGCTTGATTTGAATGTTAATGTTAAATACAAACGTCTTTATAAAAGAGCGAAGGTTAACTTATATTTGCCCAGTAATACTTGAACCTTTCACTCTTTGTGTGGCTCCCTTGGAGTTGAATTAACTGTAAAAGTAGTAGCCTTTTGTGGCAGTAAAGTACGTGATGCATCTCATGCCTGGGGATATTTCTGTCTTCCCATTGGCTCACACACCTGGAGTCCCCAGATGTGAGTTGGTTATTGCAATTCATCCTGAGAGGAAGATGAATGTCAGTACCAAATTCCATGGTATTCAATCAAAACGTCCACCTCATCATGGTGCTATATGCAAAGAGGATCACCAAAGTTAGGAGGTTTCATCCTCTGGGGACCATGAACGTCTGTGCAATCTTCCACAGCATTCCAACCAGTAGCTGTTTAGATATTTCAGTCCGGACCGAAGTGGTGGACGACCGCTCGCATGGCTAAAAATCTATTTTGTGAATCCAGGTGCTTCATGCAGGAGTTTCTGAAAACCTCTAAATATAGCCCCGGCCATTATGATAGTGCAGGAGACCGAGAACACAACAACTGCGGTTGGTTTTATGATTCCACGGCACCATCTGCTTAGAAACCACCAAACATTATATAACGCTGGTAAAGCTCCAGACAGACACACACAAAAAAAAAAATCACCAGCTGCATCCTGTGCTCACAGGATTATAAACACCCACATAATCGGGAGAAAAACTGCACTCCTAATTTTAGCCCCGGTCTAGACTGAAACAACAGTGCTACTGAGATTAGCACACACAGTGAGGGAGCAGAGTCTCCTCATATCAGCTTCTCTTTGTCAAAAACGTTAACTCAAATCCTCCCTTTCCTCTCCTGACTTTCTTTGACCCACAGCTTTCATTCGTCACCTTCAGGCTCATTAGGTTGAACGAAACCCCCCCCCGGAGGAGCCGCCGCTCATCAGCCTCTCTGTACGAGGGAGCCAGCAGACTGTCGTTTTTTTAATTAGTTTGACAGGATGAGACGCTGAAATAAATGTCAATCAGTGACGGTCTGAAAGCCTGTTAAATGCCACTGCAGGAGTCACAGCTGCTGAAATTGACGAAGAGACAGCAACACCTAATGACTCGATTGATGCAAAATTACTTTTAAATTCAAGTCATCTGTCAAACCAAAACACAATAAAATGTGCTGTTTTGTTCTTCTCAAACGTGAGAATGTTTTTCTGACAAAAGCAATTAGCCCAAAAAAATGGTGGCAGATTGATAAATGATAAAAAAAAATACTTATTTGCTTGAGAACACCTACCGCCACAGGTCTGGTCCCCAGGAAGTTAAGGTCTGTGTTCTCCCCAAACAGGTAACCCTCCGGATGGGTGGAGTCAAACTTCTCTCCTCCCATGATGAAATGGCTGGCGAAGTAACTGCCTGCACGCAGAGAACGATTCATCTGTTAAAACACACGTGACTCAAAAAAACATCACGTCATCTGAAAGACATATTCATGACATCACAGCATTTCGATCTGGTAAATATTTACAGGTTACAAACAAGTTTCCAGCTATTCAAAGAGTGAAGCAAAAACCAACGGCACAGTCTTATTATCAGGCTCCATTTTCATGGGAAAGTTTAATAAATAGATGCTGTTGTTAGAAGAAAATAAGATTTTAGGGTCCAATAACAGACAATAATACTGTTAAAAATGGAGCTTTTTAGCCGTTATCCTACTTTCAGTTGCAAAATCTACCAATGTGGCACTTCACTGGCATGAAACATTAATATTTCCCTTAAATATTTGAATTATTTGGCTGGCACCGTTATCCACAGACAGACAAATCCTCAAATCATCGAGTGCAAGTGGCCAGTGAAACTACAAATGACTGATTTGAAGAAGACAACCGAAGCTCTGAAGAGTATCTGTGACGGCCTTCTGACTGACGTTGGGTTGTTTTTAGGTTCTACAGCAGTTTGTCCACCTGTTTACCAAGACTGTGGGTCAGTGACAACACAACTTAAATAGACGTTGTGCCTTTTTAATCACAGGGTGAGCTGATATCATAAGACAGCAGTGGTGGTTTGGAGTCTTTAAATACATGCTGGACAGGTTGTGTATCTGCTGGAAAAGGACAACTAGTCTGGCACCTCTCCCTCTTAGTAACGGAAGGGTTTGGATGCTCTGAAATTAAAGACATTCACACCGGAGAAAAATAGATCATGAACTATAAAAAGCCAGAATGATGATGATCTCCCCCTCCCTATTATTTACAGCAGGTGGGAGAGGCTGAGGCTTTGTCACCAGATCCCAGAAACAGGAACTGTGGCTGACAGATCGGTTTCACCAGCAGCCATCGTCACCTCCTTTCTTCCCTTCCCACCACCATCAGGACCGCTATGTCACAAATTCATCTAAATTATGTTTAGAGGGGCGCTAATGGCCGCCACAACTCAACAGGTTTTTTATCCCCTCCATCCTTTCTTCAGCACATAACATCACCATAGATCTAAGATATTTTGTTCTGATATCAGAATATAGCCCAACACGTCACATCTGGCTACAATAAAACTCTACTTGGATTCCCCCGATTTGGTTCCAGGTCTCATTTTGTGAGAGATTTTCATCTCCTTTATGTCTTGGCTTACGATAGAATTGAAAAAGCAATGACATTATTTTTTTCACAATACGATTTTGTGACGGTGATATTGGATTACAAAGCCTGGTGGGGAGATAAACACGCTGATGCAATTTATAAATGCCACACAGGGGAACAATAAGAAGAAGTCAGCATGGAGGTTTTTGATTTGGGTCAACTGGTTAAGAGCGTGAGGTTCGGCAGCTTGTTTTGAGACATGTGCCAATACCTGAAATGTATTATCAATATGAACCTTTAAAGCATTTCTAAAAATAAGGAAAACCTCTCATATGCAGTTTATGAGGTATTTAAGTAAACAGTGGTACAATAACTACCTTAATAATACACTATATAGATTTGGCAAAATTAAAGTTATAAGTAAACAGCAATTTCCACTTTTATTCTATTAATGGAGAAAATAGCTGAAACGTGAATTGATAATGAACTTATTTGATACGTGGGAAAGGCATCTATCACAATTGTGTATATTTGAATATAAATTTGTTCTGAATTAGCTGCCAAGTATTCAATTGGCACAGAAAAAAAATTTAAAATATTTTAATTAATTACCAAAGTATTAATGCCAAATATTCTCTAATTCCATCTTCTAAAGTGTGAAGATTTTTTGCTTTTTTCTCTGTTTATTATCATAATAAATTCAACATGTTGGGCTTTGTTCCTCTTCTGGAGCTCTTTGAAGACGTCAACATCTGCTCTGGGAAACTGTGAATGACACTTTTCACTAATCTCACATTTTATATAATAAACAAAATCTACAAACTAAAGGAAAATGAAAAGAATATTAGTTGCAGTCCTGTTATCAACAACAACTAAACTAATTTCTACTCAACACACTGAATATTTCTCCACCGCTAATGCTTATGTTGGTCTTTTAATGTCCATCCCCTTCGGCTCCATCATTACTTATTTATTTTACAGATGCATCAACACAAGCTCCCTGCTAGATGCTCACGGAGCCAATCTCAGTTATGTATCGGACACTCTGCAAATAGATGAAAATTAAAAGATTAACTTTTAAAAGATAAATAAATAAGTATAGATATGTCCCTCTGTTGTTATCAATTTCTCTCCATGGACAATTCAACAATGCTGCACTGCCATAAATACATTAGAATACATGATCAAATAGTAGGCTACATAAAGATGGAGTAAATAAACGTAAATGTACAATATAAAGCTGTTTAAGAAAGGCTGCACAGAGAAACCATGCATTGGTCTCTCCACAGGTAGCTCCTCCAGGTTAGAGGCGAAGGCCTGCAGCTGTAAGAAGGTGATGGTTTTCATGGTGAGGTCTACTTTACATGCCTTTAATAGCACAAATTAAATCATCATTAAGGTTTAAAGCATTTCACAGTTAGTCTGTTCTTACCAGATTTGGGTGGATAACGGTACACCGAACTGGACGGAATGTCCAGTTCTTCCACGCCTATGTTTTGTCTGCTTGTTAAAGCTCCCATTTCCAGTCACATAAAGACCACGCGGATTAACGGGCATAACACTTTCAGGTTCGCTCTTTTTATTCCCTATCATTTAATCCAGTCCTCGCTGCCCTGGACGGTCCACTTCCACCGTGAATGTGATCGTCCTGGTGGATTAGTGGTTTGTTCTCCGGCTGCTTATCCCCCCTCCTCCTCCTCCTCCTCCGTGGTCAACAGCTCGTTCGTTGGAGTCCCTTTAACAGCGGAGAGGCGCTCTCATGGTGGGCGCAGTCAGCACAATCTGAGCGAAAGATCCTCCGAGTGTGTGTCGCTCAAAACAGCCGTGTACCCGTCGACACCTCCCGGTCCGCTGGATGTCGGTCACACATCTCCGGTGGTTGTTGGATCCTGTCAAAGGCGCCCCATGACGTCACAAATCCGGGCCTTTTTTTTTTTGCGCAGTCTCTCTCTCTTTTTCTCTCTCTCTCTTTATCTCTCTCTCTCTCTCCCTCTGACTGCAGTGCAGAGAGGACGGCTCTGTGGGATACACGGAGCATAAACTACATTACCCAATGGACTGTTATGAATCTATACACTGCACTCTCCTGTTAGCTAACACGGAGCTAAAGTTAGCTAGCAACCACTAACAGTCACATCCCCTTATCTATTCATTATATGGACATGGGTGGAAATAGGGTAAAAAAAGCGCTTTTTAGCCCAACAACAGTAAAGACTGTCGCCAAAAGTAGAGTCACAAAACTCAAACAGTTGTACAACTACCCGGGATTCACAGTAACAATATCAGGCGTTGATAAACTAGAAAAAGTAAAAGTTGCAAATAGCTAGTGGGATGTTTTTAATAAACTAAATGGAACAAAGACGGACACACTGTCCGTTTCAATGTAGCCATTATAAGCGACTCCGCGCCAACAGGGGGCAGTGTAACGGTCAAAGTGACGGAAGAGACAGTTGAGTAGCCAATCAGAGCGGGCCAACACGGGCGCAAAGAAAGAGGGGAAGAAAGCTTTATTGCCGCCATTTCACGTGAATGCTGCGCGTTAGAGACGACGATTAAAACAATTGAAAGGATACGCCAGTTTGAACCACATAAACCAATTGGAGATTTACAAACTAGCAGTAACCGTTTACCTAACGGCGGGGGACTAACGGGTTTCGACTTGCAAGGGCACGAATAATATGAGCTACGGAAGGGCGCCGCCAGACGTCGAAGGGATGACCTCCCTTAAAGTGGACAACCTGACTTACCGTACTTCTCCGGAGACTCTGCGCCGAGTCTTTGAGAAGTACGGCCGTGTGGGAGATGTGTATATCCCCCGGGACAGGTACACTAAGGAGAGCCGCGGGTTCGCCTTCGTGCGGTTCCTAGACAAGCGCGACGCCGAGGACGCAATGGACGCTATGGACGGTGCGCTGCTTGACGGGCGGGAGCTCCGGGTGCAGATGGCCCGCTACGGACGACCACCGGACTCCATGTACAGCCGCAGAGGTGCTCCGCCACGGAGATACGGAGGAGGGTACGGCGGACGCAGAAGCAGGAGGTAAATGGCCGGTGTGATTAGGTTTAGCTGTGGAACTATTTTATATTGGTGTTAAAACAAAACAAAAAAAAGACGAGTTATGGTGCAAAACGATGATTCCCTGCTTGATTTTCTGAAGCATTGTTTCAATATGTCTCTAGTTGTTAAAACTTGTGAGGCATCATAAAGTAGTTAAAATATATATTGCACCTTGTTTTGCATAGACTACTGTGTTGATGTAATAATGCACAATGTTTGCAACTAGCTATTATTGTCCTTAAGAAGTGATCTACTGGTTATTTTGTTTGATTAATCAATTAAAAAGTTGGTCTTTTTAGCTTGACATTGCAGCTACCTCTGTCTGAGAAGCTTCATTACATGACTCTTCATTAATATGTACTTTTTGATTACACTTGTCAGTTTCCATATTTTATTTAGGTTTTTCTCTTGTTGAGTTAAAGTGTGTATCTCTCTCTCTAACCACAGCCGCTCAGGCAGCCCTCGTCGCCGCAGACGGAGCCGCAGCCGCTCCAGGAGTAGAAGCCGTTCCCGATCCAGGAGCCGCCACCACTACAGCCGCTCCAGGTCCCACTCCGATTCCAGATCAAGATCCAAGTCTAAGTCCAAGTCGAGGTCCAAATCCAAATCCAAGTCCAAGTCCAGGACCCCCAGGCGGAGTAAGACAAAGTCTCCCTCCAGGTCTCGGTCCTCCAAGTCCAGAAGTCGAACCCCGCCTTCCAACAGAGGGTCCAAATCCAGGTCCCGCTCCAAATCCAAGAGTAGGCCTAAATCTCCAGAAGACAACGGAGCAGAGACTTAATCCAGCCTCGGACACAACATGACGGTATTCAGGGGAAAGGGTGGATTTTATTATTTGGCCTTCTGTCATCACTTGGGTTAGTATTCTGCAGTCTTGGTGCTACGTTAGTCATTTGCAACACAAGCAACGAAGTCTGCAGAATCCTGAATACATTTAGAAATTCAACACACAAAAAAAAGATTGCAACTGATGTCCTTGTGCTTTGGTTTGCTTGAGTGTTCAACCAATTTAAAGCACACACGGACCGCAGGAGATTTGATGTGATCTGCTGAATAATACATTTCAAAATGGGGTGTATGGGAGGAGGGACGTGGGGTGCTGCACTAAAAAAAAAAACGTTCACCTAAATGTGGAATTCTTTCCTCCAAGCTGCGGCGTCCTGTTTGCAAAGGGAGGAGGAGATGGGGGTGTGGCAGTGTGAGAGCAGTTAGTGTGTGACCCGCCCCATGTGACCTGCCTGTTGCTGAGAGAGCGATGGCAGTTGCTAAAGGAGCAGGTCGTCAATGGCGGTGGTTCGGGCTGTCAGTTGGTGTATGAGGTGGTGTGGTGAGGTACGTTCGTGGGGATCACAGGCACTGAGCACTGTCCCCACCTCTCACAAAGGGAACGGAGCCCGAGGTTTGTTTTTCAAATTCGCCCGAGTGTAAGTCTTGTTGGGGGGGGTGTAAACAAATGTGAAAATGACTAGAAATGTTGGATATAATACATGAAGATGGATGCCCAGGGAAACAAATATGCAGTTTGATAAATGTTAAGTGTCAGGGGGGGAGGAATATCAGACCAGTACTGTATTTAAATATCCAGGTCAGCTGCAGGAGTTGAGAACGGCATTTTGTTTTGCACTCCTTAACTCCGTTGTGTCTTTCCTTCCAGGTCTCAGATGATTGAGCCTTTGCTGAGGACATCAGGAAGAGTCTCACATTGAGCAAGTGGACTCCACTATTACCACTGAATGCAGACTGAAAGGTTATTGGCGCTTGGTCTAAAATGTTTTAAATTTGACCTAATTTACATAATCAAATTCTGTAACTTTGATGTGATCGTTGTTTGTAAAGTTGAGCAGTTTGAAAGGGAGTTTTTCTCATTTAAATTGTTTGTTTTGATTACACTTCTACTTTTTTCAATTGATATAGATTTCTTTTAATGAAATCCCTTGTTTAACTCTTTCTAGATGCTCATGACAGTTTTATTTGCAGGGTGTCATGTTGGACGTTCAAAGCCTTTACAGCTATGTCATACCACTCTGGCTTATTGTAAAGGCAAAAACATTAAAGTATCGCTGTGCCACTTAATTTGTGACTTGCTAATCGAGCAGCGTACATTTTCTTTTCTGTAAAATCTCTTATTTTCTGTCTGGCTACAGTTGCTTTCCTATGACTCTAACCCTCTTTCTTGTGTATCTTTTGTGCACTAGGCGCAGTTGTGTAGCAGTTGAGTAATGCTGGTTAGCTGTTAAGATGCGGTGCAGTGCGGTGGTGACATGGTGTGGCGTGTTGCGGTGCTGAGTGCCCGGCGCTGTTCCGGGGCTCGACCCTCCGCTGCCGGTTTGTAAGCTCACAGGTGTTGCAGATCATCCATCCTCTCCTGTCTTGTGACCTCTCCTTCCCTCCATGTGCTGTACAGATTCTCACCTCTTTCCTTTTATATCTTTATTCTCACTCCTCCCCCCCCCCCCCCTCCCCCCCCCTCTGTGGTTTATCCACTGTTATAACTGGCTCTGCTCGCCTTTTTGTTTCCTTTTTTAATTGGGTCCAGTGTGACTCCTAGTGAAGGGTTTAAAGGGCAGTCCATTCTGCTTAATGAATGATTTGTGTGTCTTTCATTCCCCTGTGAACCTCTCAAATGTCTTGTAATTGCTTCAGGTGAATGCTAATAAACATCTTTGTTGTTAATACATTGTGGATGGGAGTTTTGTTATGTCGTCTCTAGACAATTTGTCTTGACGATGATATGAATCGCAATACGATATTTGCCACACAAGAAGAAACTGGGCCTCGTCTCAGTGATTAGGGAGTGAGTCAAAAGGATAATGTTTGTAAATCTACATTTATATTTTAAGGGTGTAACACATCCACATGTTTAAAGCGATGGATAACACCAGTTAGGTGTTAAAGCACAACATCTACGGTCGGATTAGCACACTTGGGACAAAAATGAGCATTGAGCACGGGTCCCTGTGGGAACGTCAAACTTCCAGGACAGATGTTATGAAGATGGACTTAACCAGCAGTTAAAGTACCACTGTGTAGCTTTTAAAAGAAGAAGAAATAAGACCATATGTATTCCAATCAAAACTGAAAAGTCTTTCTTACGCACAAGAAGAAAACACACCCTTGTTTAAATGTATATTCATTAAATATTTGTTGTATTGTGATTGATTTCAGCTCCACTGTTGTCACATTAGCCAACAAGCTTTATTCAGGAAATCGGGGGTTTATTTTAATAAACAAGAGATTTGTCTGAACAGTGTTACAGTTTAATTAAACGCAACATTGATTCCTCCTTGATGTTTTCTCCAAGCTCTCTCAGGGTTCTTGTCTGCATGTTGGCTTGAAAGTTATCCGTGGAGCTTGTTAGAGCTGAGAGGGAAAACCTGAAGACACTAATCTGGGCTGAAAAAAAGTGTCAACATGTTTTACAGATAAAAACTAAAATGTATTTAATCTGTTTGTTTTTACTTTGATAGATATCCAAAAGTTAAAGACGCAACATTATCTAACATGAAGTATTAGTGTTAGTTTAATTTGGGTCATCTGGAATATATAGCGTTTATTTAAGTATCGGGTTTAAGGAAAGAGCTGTAAGGTAGGCTATTTGAAACTAATAGGATAGAGTGTGCAAAACATTGACCAAGGAATGACATGTCACTGTAGACTCAGTGGGACTTTAAATCTCAGGTGAGAGGAAAACACCTTTCACTCCCTCACCGACCGTAAACCCGGCTTGACTCCCCGCAGACCTGGTCGACGGGTCCTGTCACGAACCATTTCGATCTCCCGGTCTGTGCAGTAAAATCGGATTACCGGCACATACAAAGTACAGTAGAGCCGAGCACGTTGCAACGCGCCGTGCCAGCTCCAACCTGATCCTTGAACCGGAGGATGTGACGTCACGCTCGGAGAGGAGATTGTCGGTAACGCTGCTCGTTAACGGTGATGTTTGCCGAGGATTATCACGGGGGTGGGGTGGACCAACTGTGAGTGAATGCAGCCGGCTCAGGTGAACCGTAAAGCGGGATAGAAGTCACAACACGGGGCCTGAACAACACCACCGCGCACCGAGCTCCGCGGTCATGGATCTAACTTTTGTGCTGTCCGTCGCTATCTTCACGCTGCTCGCGCTCGTGGTCGCGACGTCGCTGCTTAACGGTTCTTCGTCCGCGGGCGAGTTATTTGCAAGTTATTTCGGACGCGCAGGAGACGATGGTGCAGCCGGAGGATTAGATCAACCACCGGGGCCGACGCAGAACGGACATTTGCCGGACAATAAGAAGAAGACGACGCAGCAGCAGAAGAAGAAGAAGAAGGCGGAGGACGACTGGTGTGAGATCAGCGGGAGCGCCCACGATCACTGGGATGTGGTGAAATCTGTGCTTTCAGTAAGTGGGCTGCAATCGGCCGGTCACGAGAGAGCCTCGGTTGTTTGTTTTGTTTTTGCATTTTATCATGTAATTATCTCCTAATCTCATTTACTGACTCCCCCTTCCCCCCCCTGCCACCACAGGTACAGTTTGCATGTCCATTCAGAGGTGAAAGAAACACTCCAATCGTTTATTTAACTAAAAGAAGCATTGCTATAAAGGAAAATAGTCCTTAACAAGTACAGCTGCATTATAAATCAGTAGTGTAAAGTAATTAAGTATCACAATTAAAATAAATGGGGAAGTTACAAAACATTGAAAGATATTCAATTGAATGGAAAACCTGAATACGCAAACCTGTGATACATTTAGTAAAAAGTACATTATTTGAAGAGATAAATACTTAGAACTACCTCGAAGGTGTCCTTAAGCAGTGCAGAAGAAGTATTCAGATCCTTGAGAGAAAGTAATACCACAATAAAATACTAATTTAGAAGTAAAAGTCCTGCAAAAACAAGTATTCTCAAACTGGAGTACTATTAGTGATGCATTAACATGTAAGCAGCGTTTTAACGTTGTAGTAGGTCCAGATGAAGCTGTATGATAGTTTAATCTGTAACATTGCATTATATTTTATTAGCTGATCATGAATTGTCTGTGTGGAGCTGCAACAATTATTTGATAAATGGATTGACAGGACATTAATCAGTAATCAACTTTGATAATAGTGAAGGTAATGTTTGCATTTAAGGTTTTTCTTTGCTCTTCTTTAACAGTAAAGCTTTTTGGGTTTTGCACTCTTGATCCGACAAAAGAAGACGTCTGAAGACGTCACATTGGTCTGGGAAACTGGGCTATGCTATCCTTTGTAGACAAAAGATTAATTGATCAACCCAGGAAATAATCAGCAGATTATTCAATTATGAAAATAATGAACTAAGTAGCTGCAGTCCATTATATGTCAAATAAAAAGTACAACATATACCTGTGAATTGTAGAGGTTGAAGCGTGAAGTAAAGGACAAGTACTTCAAAACTGTACCGAAGCCCAGTACTTAAGTAGCTTAAATGTGGTTGATTTCCACCTCTGCGGACATTTTGAGTAGACGACATCCCCGTCACCTGTGTTGGCACCTTATATACAGTCATTGGTTTGCACTAAAATAACAGGCGGAGAGCGCAACAAGTATAGGAGGATTTCACATACGATAACTGCCTTTAAGCTTTACCCTCGTTTTGAACTCTTAGTTTGATTAATAGAGAACTGGCAGGATGATCCTCCTCCACACACCTCTCAGGTAGCTGTCAGGACCCTCCCTGGTCTGTTTTTAGCCTCTTGGGTCCCTGTTGAGGACATCTGGATGTCTGCTCGTAGAGAGGACAAAACAGGACAGGGAGAGAGAAGTCACATCAGCACCTAAGGGAGCAAAGCATGAAACGATAACCTGTCACCTGCACCTGGAGTGTAGGCCAGATCAGCATCCAGGTGAGGTGAGGAATACAGGTAACACAACGAGCTATTTGTTTGGATCTCAATATCTCCACAGCAGTTTTTAATCTGGACCTTCCTGCAAGAATGTGCACATATTTCAAACTTTAAAAAAATATTTATTGCTAATTTCTGGAGGGAAATCCTGTGAAAGAGTGATAGTTTGATGCTCCTGATCTGACCCCTTAATCCTCTGACAGGAGGAGGCACATCTCCACCCTCACACTGAAGGACTGGCAGCACCAGTTGAGCAATCCTCCTCCACATCCAGCCTGTCCGTCACCAGGCCTGGATCTAGGCACAGGAGCTTAGAGGCAGACTCGTGGTCCGAGGCCTCGTCGCGGATGAGCCGTAGGCCGTTCATTGGGCTCTCTGATAAGGAGCTCCTAAAGTTTGCTTTCTCATACCCCCAGACTGAAGGAGCCGCAGAGAGCCCGGAGATCAACGGTGAGCACTGCGACCCACTTTGAAAAAGTTGTGCGTTAAATATTCAGATGTATATCACTATTTTCTTTTCTTTCCCCTTCAAAATAAAGGTTTTGGATTTCTCATCAAAGTGTCTTCTTTTTCATCAGATGAAGGGGAACCGAATGCAAACGAGTCCTTGAAGTACGTCCCTGGAAAGGCGAGATCCCACCACCTGCAAATGATGATGTCCTCGGACGAGCTGGAGGAGGAGCGAAGGTCAGTGGAAACTACAAATATGGGCGCCACTTTCTGATTAATGCCCCCTTCGTAAAGAGTTCATAAGACATTAATAAGAACATTGAAATGGGGAGACCCCTCATATAGCGGCACACCGGACGGTCCATGATTAATTAAAGCGCTGTGGACGAGTGTCATGTTTGAGGAGGGTTTTCTACAACCTGGCAACCCAAAAGTTGTTCTTATTAATGAATTATGACCGATCATAAGTAAAGCATTAATCAACAATGTATTAACCGTTAATAAAGCCATTGAAAGGGTGCCTTGTGAAAATGTGCCCAAATATGTCACAGAGTAAATTCACCTTTACCTATCTGCTTGATATCCCCCACTGTCCTCCTAAAATACTCAAACTGAACAAAAATACCTTGAACATTCTTTGCCAAAGTTTTTACTAAAAATCAAATGTCAAATGAAGTTCCCTTGTTTCCTCGTTGCTGCTCTCTCTCTGTCCAGAGTCCTGTCCTCTTCCTCCTCCTCCCTCTAATCTCCCCAACGCTGTCTTCACGTGTGTTTTTGTGTTGTTGCCGTTTCCCTCCACGTCCTCTTCAGGCTAGACTGAGTAAGGCCAGATTGAGTCTCTGCCAGGCATTAGCTGAGGGATGAATGACACGAGACTCACAGAAACCACTCGAAGCGTTCGCTGGCTGCTGGGGAGGGGAAAAAAATAGAAAACAGAGGAGCACCAAGTTTTATTTTCTATAATGTATCTGCATGCCCTGCTCTTATCATTGCAGGATACACTCCAGCACAGACTTTAACTGTCTGTGAGCCTGAAAAAGGAGCAATTATTGTGGTAAAGTATGAGTTATTCTCACCCGTTTATCGCAGGGGAGTCACTTTCTGGCCATTGTATGAAAACTACTCTAAAGCCATTTTGCATTCTCAGTTTTGAACTCGGCAGTGATTTTCTTTTTTTTGGGCCTCATCAGCTCTTTTTTCTTTAAGTGGCCATGAAGCGACTGATACACATCCCACACACCCGCCTCCCCGCTGCCCCATTAGACGTGTGATTCTCAGGTGTCACAGCAGGTGTTGATTGTGTCTCCAGTCGTCACCTCTGACAGAAGAGTGTTAGTTAATCCTCTCAGGACTCTCCTCTGTTCTGCCACTAGGAGGACTCAGTGTAACGCAACACTGGGACACTTGGGCTGACCAGGGCTGGTTTTTGTGAGCCAGTTGCTTACAAAAACTCTTCAGGCACTATGGAATGGAGAGAGTTGACGACCGTTTATGCTTTGACAATAAATCTTATCGTAATATGTGATGTCAGGATCAAACTTTTAAAGACAAATATGAAACACAAGCTATTACAATAACTTTGTTCAATGCTTAAAATCCTTTCAAGGGTACATTTGCACAATCCCACGTGAAGTATTTCATGTGTTGAAAAGCCACGTTTAAAGTAGTCTTCAATGTACTCACAATACATTTCCATTTCGAGAGTAGGGTAACCAGCCAAAGAGCTGCTTCTATGACTGTGTGTTTAAGTATCTCATCATTCTGACTTTCTATCTCATAACTTCGACTTTCTATCATAATTTAGATTTTCTATCATAATGACTTTCTATCATAGTTATGACTTTCTATCTCATAATTTCGACTATGGGGATATTTTTATTATCAAGTCTAACGTGAAAATCTTTTAAATTTTTTTTAACTTTTTTTTTTTTTGCTGGCGGATTCGCGGGCCACATAAAATGACGTGGCGGGCCGTATTCGGCCCGCGGGCCTTGAGTTTGAAACCTTAAAGGAGAATGCTACCAGGGCAGTAGGGCGTTCCATGGAACTCCAGCTGAGACTCCTTTGTGTTTTTGTGATACGCTATGTGATGGCACTCCTTTAACCTGTCAGGATGTGATGACAGCAACAATGCGTGTTGGGAGTGTCACTGCTGTTGTACTTTGTATAGAACAGTGTAGCTTCATTGATAAATCCTCTTTATCCTTAGTAAATCACAACAATTACGTCTAATTACCTAAAGTCAAATGAATAAAGTGGGGTAAGGATATGTATATAGATATATGTACATGTATATGTGTGTGTGTGTGTGGAAAGGAGGAGGGGGGGGCTTACTCAAACAGTGATGGTGGGTAATCTAAAAAGGGGGCGTGTGAGCCTACAAGCCAAGATGGCGGAGTCTAGAGACTTCCAACAAAATGGCTGAGAGGGGGCCACATGTAACCACGTGGGGCGGCGCATCACGTGGGTTGGGACAATAGATTACGCAACCACGAGTCTGAGAGGTTCAACAAAAATCAGTGAATCTAACTATGTGTGTGTGGGTTAGTAGGAAGAGAGAGAGAGAGAGAGCGAGCGAGCGAGAGCTCTGAGCGCGGTGCTCGGCGCTCCAGTGAGAAAACAGCTGATCTATCCGCAAAACTCTGCGGTCGGGTTCTGAACCGACTGGCCACGCTTATACGGTGATAGTTGCGATTCTAAATCTCACTCACAGAGCCGATTTAAAGAAGAGAGAATAAAACCAAACAAAATAAAAGAATCCCCAAAACAAAACAGATCTTTATCACTGCGGTGAGATGCGAGTATTGCTCTCCTATCACCCCGAAACTCGGTCAGCGAGACGAGGCTCCGCCACCGTGGTTTTGGTCTTTGAAGTGATAAAATCACAAGCTCCACATCCACTAGCAGCGACGGATCTAATGCAAACAGTTACAGCAGGAAATACACAATATAACGGGACTCCGTGGTCCGCGATGCTTGCTCAATAACACGTTATAACACGACAGTAACTTAACGTAACAAGATACAGGAATAACAACGACATAACGAATAGGCTAAATTAAGCTAGTGCCAAACTAAGCTAAGCTAGGCCCAGATACCAGTAACTCTTACTTGTAGAAGCTTCGTTCGGTAGGGTCTGGTTCCAGTGGTAGGAATCACTCTGTCCTCGATGAGTCGCTGACTCTCGGTGGCGCGGCCTCGGGGCTGGCTGGCGCAGACGCTGGGGGGAAATCAC